TCAGGCCTCCAAGAGACAACAACCAAACACGACCAACAAGATACAGTAAGACAAGGCAAAAGACCTCATGTTGAGGCTGGACCAGGCAACCCAACAGGAGGAAAAAAGTCCCAAGAGCAGGCAAAAGAGTCAAAAATATATCTGCTCCCACAGTTAGGAGTTCCACAAAAACACCAATCAGCAGTGACAACATATATGCAGAGGACTTGGTGCAGATCCTTTCAGGCCCTGTGCTTGCCACTTCTGTCTGTGTCTGGCCATATGCATCCTGCTCAGTTGATTCAGTGGGCTGTGTTTTCTTGGTATCTTTTATCTTCTCTGACTTCTACAATCTTTCTTTCCCTTCTTCTGTGGGATTCCCCAAGCTATGAGGGGAGGAACCCGATAGAGACCTACAATTTAGATTTTCTCTATGTGTTATATCTCACTATGGATCTCTGCATCTTCTCCCATCTGCAGCTATGGGATGCCTCTCGCATTATGACCAGACAAGGCACCAGTCTATGAACATAGCAGAATGGCCTCTAGGCTATCCAGTCTCCAGTTCCTGGACATCCAAGCAGTGTCAGGCATGGACTTCATCTCATGACATAGACTTCAAGTTGAATCAGATATTGGTAGGCTACTCCTACATATTCAGTACCCCCATTTCTCCAGTACATCTTTCAGGCAAGGCAGACTGTAAAAAGTTTTGTGGTTATGTCGGTGTCCATCTTTCTCTTTTGGTGGTCTGCAGAGTACCTTCCCATACCAAAAAAGATTAGAACATAGGCTAGAAAATAAGGATGAAGACTCCATGTAGATACCAGTTCCGCCTCTTCAAATTTAATGAGCTGTGTGCATGTTGTCCTTAGCAATGGGACACAATATATGCTTGCAGAGAGCAACCCTAGGTCTTAGCATCAGCCTGGGTTGTTCAACAGTCTCCATGAGACCTCTGCTTAAATGCAACCCAGTCCCCACTGGAATTCTATCCTGGCTACAAGAGATAGCTAGTTCAGATTCTGTATCTCCCATTACTAGGAGTCCTCATTAGGATTGTCCTTGTAGATTCCAAAAAGGTTTTATAGCACTAGGTTTCAATACTGGCCCCCAAATGTTCCCCAGTTCTGGCTGTTTCTCCTCCATCTCATCCCCACAGCCTGATCCCTCTCAGTCCTGCCTCTCCCGCACCCCAGGCCACCCACAAAATCTTTTCTATTTCTTCTTCCCAGGGAGATCCATACATTCCTTCCTAGAGCCCTCCTTTTTACTCATTCTGAGTCTACAGACTGTAGGTTGGTTATCATTTGATTAATGGTTAATATTCAATTATAAGTGGAAATATAATATATTTGTCTTTCTGGGTCTGGGTTACCTCATGTAGGATTTTTTTTTTTAGTTTCATTCACTTGCCTTTAAATTTCATGATGCCATTATTTAAAACAAACAAACAAACGAACAACTCCATTGTGTAAATTCACCATGTTTTCTTTATCTATTCTTTGGTTGAGGAACATATAGGTTGTATCCAGTTTCTGCCCATTATGAATAAAGCCACAATGAATATAGTTGGGTAAGTTACCTTTGGGTAGGATTGAGTATCCTTTGGGTATATGCCCAAGAGTGGTATAGCTGAGTCTTGAGGTAGATTGAGTCACAGTTTTCTGAGGAACCACCATATTGATTTCCATAATGACTGTACAAGTTTGTACCACCAGTAGTAATGAAGAAGTGTTCCTTTTGTTCCGTATCTTCTCCAGCAAGTTGTCATTTGTGTTTTTGATCTTAGTCATTCTGACAGGTGTGAGATAGAATCTCAAAGCAGTTTTGATTTGTATCTTTTTCTGATGTATAAGGATATTCCTTTAAGTGTTTCTCAGCCATTTGAGATTCTTTTGCTGAGAATTCTCTGTTTAAATCTGTACTCCATTTTTAAACTGTATGATTTGGTTTTTTTTTTGGTATCTAGTTTCTTGAGTTACTTATAAATTTTGGGGATATTAATCTCCTATTAGATTTGTAATTAGTAAAAATTTTTCCTTTGTGCAGGCTGCCATTTGCCCTATTGATGGAGTCCTTTACCTTACATAAGGTATTCAGTTTTATGAGGTCCCATTTATTAATTGTTGATATTAGGGTCTGTAGTATTGGTGTTCTATTTAGGAAATTGTCACCTGTTACAATGAATTCAAGGTTATATTCCACCTTCTTTCTGTCAGGTTCAGTGTATTTGTTTTCATGTTGAGGTATTTGATCTACTTGAACTTGAGTTTTGCACTGGGTGATAAATATGAATCTATTTACATTCTACATGCAGTTATTCAGTTTGATCAACACTATTAGTTGATAGTTGATTTCTTCTCTTTGTTTTTATGCATTTTAATAAAAAATCTGGTGTCCACAGGTGTGTGATTTATGTTTATGTCTTAAATTTGATTACATTGATCAATATGTCTGTTTTTATGTCAATAATATGTGATTTTGATTACTATAACTCTGTTGTACAACTTGAGATCAGGTATGGTGATATCTCCCACAGTTCTTTTATTGCACAAAATTGTCTTAGCTATACTGTTCTTTTTTGTTTGTTTGCTTGCTTGTTTTTCTTATGAAAATTGTCCTTTGAAGTTTGTAAACACAGAGTGTGTATTCCCAGAGTGTATGGACAAGTTTGAAATCCCAATAACAGTGAATGATGATTCTCTTTTCTCCATATCTTCCATAACATTTGTTTTTGGTGGTGATATTTGCCAAAGAAATTACCATTTTTAGAAAAATACCTGCAACAGAAAAGTTTGACCTCTGGCAAACAAGGAGATAAGATTTGTTCTCTAAGATACAACTCAAGTATGCAAGGTGTGTGTGTGTGTGTGTGTGTTGCATCTGTGTGTGTATGAGAGAGAAAGACTATGATACACACATATGGATATGTATATATTACACTATTTGCTTCTGAGACAGTGTTCACTATATCGTATCTTGGAATTCATCATGTAGCCTAAATCGACACTAAGCTAGTACAGTCCTCCTATTTTAGCCTCACAACTACTGGGCTTACTGGCATGAGATTACATACCTGGCTTTTAATTATATTCATTTTATTTAATGACTCTATCACTTATTATTTATTTTTTTGTGTGTGTTGACTTGGTATCTACTTCCATTCTGGAAGGCAGAAGGCATTTGGAGAAGTCCCTCTTTGTCCCTTATGCTGTCTGTCCTCACAGATGGTTGTTTCCACAAATCTTATCCATCATCCATCCATCATACAGTCCCTTATGGCACATCTAAGGTTCTTGCATGGCATCCCCATAAGTGGTCTCTGTGGTGAGGGGTTGCCATGATTTATGGAGGTACTGCAGACATCCTTTCCTCTTTGGAACCTTGGTGACACTCCAGAGGTTTGCTTAGAAACAGGGCATGAAACCAGTAAATGGGTTCCCTAGATCATCTTCTGTACCCCTTTAAACTTTGTTTCTGACATCCAGAGTCTCACCATGTCCCCTCCATTTCTCTCACTCTTCTTCAGCATGCAAACACTTCCTGATAAGTGATTCGAGGCAGCACTTTCTGTGTAGTGTTGTTTCTTTGTTTGAAAATATAGAAGTTCTACTTAGCCATTGTGGAAAAAATAGGTCCAGTCCTTGCCTAGGGTAGGAAATCAATGCCCCAAACAAATAAACAGACAAGAATAAAAATGAACAGTGTTTCAAACATCACTAATATCTCAAATATATTCTATCAAAAGGTACTAATGAGGTGAAATTCATACACTTGAAATTGAGCTCATCTATTTACTGCCCTAGTGAAAAGTAAAGGATTCCACAATATACCTTAATCAATGGTGTTCCCGATGAAGATAATGTGCCACAGCTAGGGAAGAGTCTGAGGACACAGCAACACCAATTAATACAATTGTCACATAATTCTATGATGTTCCTGTAAACTACCATGCTCATTTTGGCCCTCTTTTTTTCCTGGTCTTCTCATTTAGCTGTATATTTTTGTAAAGATGATGTAAATATGACTATTTTGAGCTGTAATCATGTGTCATCTTTCTCTCCTTGTTCGGTATTATTTGAGAGCAGTAACTATTGTCTGGAACTAACTTAAGGGAACATTGAGCTGTGAATACATTTATGAAAAGCAGCACAGGGTCAGAATTCTTCTCACAGTCTGTGCTGTTCACAGCAAGAAGAAAACAGAATCTGATGCTGCAGGCACCCAATATTGTCTGTGGGAAAGCTTTCTTACAAGTTGATGTATAGAATAAAAGCAAAGGGGTCTTTGCCCATTAATGGCTTATCAAAGCTTAAATGTCTTATCAGGCTTGTGCCTGAAACATTCATGCCACATAAAAGGATCCCAGTTGATGCTGGACCACCTTTCTGATGGTCATCTCTCAAGACTGCAGTGCAGCTGTAAAGGCCCTGTCACTTAGTGATGTCATCACTTTCTCTCACCATAGCAGGGCACAGTAGTTAAATGCTTCTTGTGATGCAGGCATGGGAAAACCTGCTAAGCTTTTTATTGAAATGTTATAGGATATATGTATATATATCATTTTCTTGAAATGTTATAGGAAACGTTTATACTTGTACAAATATACAAAAAAACTTTTGGGTTTTTATTTTTTATTTTTACATTTATTTATTTATTTATTTATTTATTTATTTATTTATTTTTACTATGTAACAGTTTACCACAATACTCCAGCAGTGTATTCTTCTCATGTTGACTGCGGTTGGTTGTACCAACTTCTCTCAGGATTGGTTTTATCTAGTCATTTTATTTATTATGGTTTTAGAAGTAACAAGCAATTTTTATACGGCGTAGGGGGCTGTCATGTGCATGTGCAAGTCTAATCTATAGTGTTCACACAATGATGACATTTCCTAATTACATATTTCCAAAAATGAACTCAATCCTGTGTTTATATGACATAGTAAGTATGTCACTTAACTGCTTATAAAATAAAAATATGGCTTTCTGCTGGGAACCGGGTGCTCGCTGTCAAAATGGGCAAGTTCATGAAGCCCGGGAAAGTGGTGCTCATCCTGGCTGGACACTACTCAGAACGCAAAGCCATCATCGTGAAGAACATTGATGATGGCATCTCAGACCACCCTTACAGCCATGCCCTGGTGGCTGGAATTGACCGCTATCCCCGAAAAGTGACGGCTGCCGTGGGCAAGAAGAAAGTCGCCAAGAGATCCAAGATCAAGTCCTTTGTGAAGGTTTATAACTACAACCACCTGATGCCCACAAGGTACTCTGTGGACATCCCCCTGGACAAAACTGTTGTCAACAAGGATGTCTTTAGGGACCCAGCCCTGAAACGCAAGGCTAGGTTGGAAGCCAAGGTCAAATTTGAGGAACGATACAAGACAGGTAAGAACAAATGGTTTTTCCAGAAGCTTCGCTTTTATACATACATATATATACATATATATATATTTACATCATTAATAGTTTAAAAAACAAAAAAATAAATAAAAATATGTTATTTTCTAACACAGGGTCATAGTATATATCTCAGGCTATCTCTAAACTAAATATGCTTTTGCGCTGTCTTTCCAGGGCTGAGGTTACATGTGTGCACTACCATTCCCAGAAAATATTTCGGTTTTGGTGGGAGTTTTATAATACAATATGAATCATATCCCAAGTTTAGAACAAAGACTTAGAATATGTTGTAAAGATTTACATGCCACCATTAATAAAGACATATGAATCAAAAATATTTCTAATTCACAGTAATAGTCATATTTATTTAATATAAAAATATAATAAAATATTGCAAAATAGGGTTCCTGGTTATCAGATACGTACTTAAATTGAGAAATAGGACACTCTGAGAATCACTGACCAAGGGGTTTTAAGTTCCCATGGTCTGATCAACATCCTGCAGAACTGGAAGAAGGGGTACGATATTTTGTAGTTAAAGGTAGCAGAACTCCAAAAGTTAATAACACCAAGGTCTAAAGATGGAGAAATGCAGAGACCATTGGTATTAAATCCTGAACTCTAAAGGCGAAATAAGACAGTATCTGATAGAGAACAGTAAAAGATGGATGTCCAAGCCTCAAAAAAGAGTGGAGTGAGCAATGAGATCCGATCCGGGCACCAGGAGAGACATCTTTGGGGTGAGTGAGTTTCTGACCGTGGCAGCAGCCTGGGACAAGGAACTCGGACGTTCCTCATCCCTCCTACACTTCCTGGTCATCCTCAGGGGCTATACTGCCCATTACCTCCTCTCTCTTCCTATCCCACCCAGCTTGCATCCACAACCCTCCTCTCCCCCCTCCGTCTGACTCCCTCCCCTCTTTGACCACATAACATCTCCCAGCTCAGCCTGTTAGGGCGCTGGGACCGAATCCGAATCGGGAGGGCAAACGGGAGGGTGGTAGCTCCTTTGTCCCAATAGCCTGCCTGCTGCAAGCAAGGTAGGCCCTTTGTTTAGGAGCCACCGAAGCAGCAAGGAGATCCGAACCGGGCACCAGGAGAGACATCGGGCTTGCATCCACAACCCACCCAGAGTGGTCCTGAGGAGTTCCATCTGGACGGTAGTCCATGTTTGGGTGCTGAGGAGTTCCAGCTCCACGGGACGGTCCCTGCTTCTACACTGAAGAGATACACCCAGAGATTCAGTCACAGCAAAGACTGGACCAAGACACCAGGCCTCTCCTGGCTCCATTTGAAGGAGGAGATGGGAAGGCGCCAATGCAAGACTTCCTCCAACAACCTGAAAGGCAACATGACTTCACCAGAATCAAGGGATCCCGAAATAAGAAGAATTGTACACCCTACTCCAGAAGAATTAGAAGAAATCGACTCAAAAGTGAATTATATGAAAATAATAGAAGACCTTAAGCAGGAGGTGAAAAACTGCCATAAACAATTAGAGATTACAAACAAAAAGGTAGAGGAAATGAATAAATCGCTTAAAGATACCCAAGAAAATCAAGAGAAACATGAAAAAGCAATCAGACAGGTACGGGAAGCAGTTCAAGACTTGAAGAATGAAATGGAAGTAATGAAGAAAACACAAACCGAGGGAAGATTGGAGATGGAAAATCTGGGTAAACGAACAGGAACTACAGAGACAAGTACTACCAACAGAATACAAGAGATAGAAGAAAGAATATCAGATACTGAAGATACCATAGAGAAAATAAACACACTGATCAAAGAAAACAGCAAAACCAACAAATTCTCATCACAAAACATTCAGGAAATATGGGACACAATAAAAAGACCAAACCTAAGAATAATTGGAGTAGAAGAAGGAGAAGAGGTGCAACTCAACGGCCCAGAAAATATATTTAATAAAATTATAGAAGAAAACTTTCCCAACCTAAAGAAAGATGTACCTATGAAGGTTCAAGAAGCATACAGAACACCGAATAGGCTGGATCAAAAAAAAAAAAAAACCCCCCCGCCATATAATAATCAAAACACAAAACATACAGAATAAAGAAAGAATATTAAGAGCCGCAAAGGAAAAAGGCCAAGTTACTTACAAAGGTAAACCTATCAGACTTACACCTGACTTCTCTATGGAAACCATGAAAGCCAGAAGGTCCTGGATAGATGTACTGCAAAAACTAAGAGACCATGGATGCAAGCCCAGACTACTATACCCAGCCAAGCTTTCATTCACCATAAATGGAGAAAACAAAATTTTCCAGGATAAAAACAAATTTAAACAATACGTAGCCACAAACCCAGCCTTACAGAAAGTAATAGAAGGAAAATCTCTAACCAAGGAGTCCAACAATGACCACAATAACTCAGACATCTAGAGACCCGTCACCAGCGCAACTCAAAGAAGGGACGCACACGAACTCTACTACTAAAGAAGTGACCGGAGTTAACATCCCCTGGTCATTAATATCACTTAATGTCAATGGGCTCAACTCACCTATAAAAAGGCACAGGCTAAGAGATTGGATACGAAATCAGGATCCAACATTCTGCTGTTTACAAGAAACACACCTCAAACACAGAGACAGGCACCTACTCAGAGTAAAGGGCTGGGAAAAGGCTTATCAAGCAAATGGACCTAAGAAACAAGCAGGTGTGGCCATACTAATTTCTAACAAACTTGACTTCAAACTTAAATCAATCAGAAGAGATGGAGAGGGACATTTTATACTCATAACAGGATCAATTCATCAAGAGGAAGTCTCAATCCTGAATATCTACGCCCCTAATATAAAAGCACCCACATACGTAAAAGAAACATTACTAAAACTCAAGGCAGCCATCAAACCGCACACACTAATAGTGGGAGACTTCAACACTCCTCTCTCACCAATGGACAGGTCAATCAGACAGAAACCTAACAGAGAACTAAGAGAATTAATGGAGGTAATGAATCAATTGGACTTGACAGACATCTATAGAATATTCCACCCAAATCGGAAAGAATATACCTTCTTCTCTGCAGCTCATGGAACCTTCTCGAAAATTGACCACATACTCGGTAACAAAGCAAACTTCCACAGGTACAAAAACATATTAGTAACCACCTGTATCTTATCAGATCACCATGGATTAAAGTTAGAATTCAACAACAACCCTACCCCCAGAAAGCCTACAAACTCATGGAAACTGAACAGTCAACTACTGAACCACACCTGGATCAAGGAAGAAATAAAGAAAGAAATTAAAGTCTTCCTTGAATTCAATGAAAATAAAGAAACAACCTACTCAAACTTATGGGACACTATGAAAGCAGTCCTGAGAGGAAAGTTCATAGCACTAAGTGCCCACTTAAAGAAAACAGAGAAGGCACACATTGGAGACTTAACAGCCCATCTGAAAGCTCTAGAAAAAAAAGAAGCAGACTCACCTAGGAGGAGTAGAAGACTGGAAATAATCAAACTGAGGGCTGAAATCAACAAAATAGAAACACAGAAAACAATCCAAAGAATCAATGAAACAAAAAGCTGGTTCCTGGAGAAAATCAACAAGATTGATAAACCTCTATCCAAACTAATAAAACGCCAGAGAGTGAATATGCAAATTAATAAGATCAGAAATGAAAAGGGGGACATAACCACAGACACAGAGGAAATTCAGAGAATCATTAGATCTTACTACAAAAGCCTGTATGGCACAAAACTGGAAAATGTAAAAGAAATGGACACGTTTTTAGATAAATACCATATACCAAAGTTAAACCAGGACCAGGTGGACAATCTAAATAGACCTGTTAGTCGCAAAGAATTAGAAGATGTTATAAAAAACCTCCCTACCAAAATGAGCCCAGGACCAGACGGTTTCAATGCAGAATTCTACCAGAACTTCCAAGGAGACCTACTTCCTATACTCCTTAAGGTATTTCATAATATAGAAACAGAAGAGTCATTACCAAATTCCTTTTATGAAACTACAGTTACTCTGATACCAAAACCACACAAAGACTCTACCAGGAAAAAGAAATACAGACCAATCTCACTCATGAACATCGACGCAAAAAGGAACCCATAGGAAACTATCCTTGGGACATTTATGGTAAATATTTGTCTGTCTATCTATCTATCTATCTATCTATCTATCTATCTATCTATCTATCATCTATCTGTTTATTTATCATCTGCCTATCTTCTGTCATCTATCATCTCTATCTATGTATATGTATAAAGTATAGTATGTGATCTCAGAGTTAACATTAATAATTAATATTGGAATAAAAGAGGAGCTTGGAGATAACTTCCAGTGATATCTTGAAAATATAAAGATTTTCCTTCATCTTCTGGTACCCAGTTATAAAAAGAAACTGTACATGGTAGTGTAGACTTGTAATTTCACTGTTGGGTAGGTAGAGAAGGGAGAATCCCTGGGACTCCCTAAACAGCATGTCTAGTATTACTGGTGAACTCTTGGCCAATGAGAGACCTTGTCTCAAATGAAGGGGGTGGTGTGCTTAAAGATGATACTTTAGGTTTTCTTCTGACAACATCATGCAGATGATTTAAAGAAGAAATGTTGTTTGCCAATGATCGTGTTATCCAAAGAAATATGGACCCAACAGTTTGTCATTTAATAAATCTAACATTACAGAAAGACACAGATGAATCTATATTTCTGACATCGGGAGCTCAGAAGATTAACTAGAAAGTGATGGTTAAAAATGACAAGGAGTACATTGGAGGGCAAGCAAGGCCCAGGAGTAGTCAGAACAAAAAGTATCAGCTGTACACTAAATGCCTTAAATTATAGGTGAGGCTAATAAAAAAAGGCTCATCTGCTGAAATAGATATTTCCTCTTTTCTTAAATGATTTCCATCCTTCAAAGCTCTCAAGTACAGTAAATTGTCCCCAACAGTCTTTTCTCCGTATCTCTTATCTATGATACTGTAAGGGCCTCTCTATGCTCTTTAAGATTTATAATCCAAAGAGACACCAATATA